TAGATAGATAGATAGATAGATAGATAGATAGATAGATGGATGGATGGATGGATGGATGATAGATGGATGGATGATAGATGGATGGATGGATGATAGATGGATGGATGGATGGGTGGATGGATGGATGGAGATGGAGATGGATATAGACAGGAAGACCTGGAGGAATGTTGTCCATGGGGTTGCGATGGGTCGGACACGACTTCGCAACTAACAATAACAACATAGATATAGATATAGATATAATAAGATATACACAAAATGCCAGCCACAACTATGCAATGCAATCAAAGCCCCATCTTTTTTTATGGGCTTCAATTGCAAAGTTCTGGCCAATATCTTGATTTTTATTTTTATTTTTTGCACTTCCCTGTCGACCCACCTCCAGCTACCTACTCTGATTCCACCTCCCTCTCCCTGCAGTGCCAAAAATGATGGAGGAGAACCTTGTAGCAATAAGTGAAGAAGAATGCTTCACTGTAACCCTTTTTGAAACATCCTGGCCCTTTGGCTAGCATGCCTGTTCTAGAAACTCCCGATTGCTCACAATTGTCAGGCTGGGCTGGGGAAGCTGTCTGACTTTAAATCTGATACACAGAATGACTAATAAAATTAAAGCAAGTTTCTCCCTCCCTCCCTCCCTCCCTCGCTCCTTCCTTCCTTCCTTCCTTCCTTCCTTCCTTCCTTCCTTCCTTCCTTCCTTCCTTCCTTTCTCCTTCCCTCCNTCCCTGCTTCTTCTCTACCTTCTGGTTCTGCTTACATCACTCTGGCTTCATATCCCCTGGTAATCTACGTTGACATTAATTTCTGTCGATTTAGCAGCAAAGGGTTGTTAATTTATTCCTGGTTTGAGAGGATCTGAGACCAAGAAGGGGGTAGTTCTCCAAGATGAATGAGCAAGAGGGAAAACACTTCTACTAGATACAAACACGGAGTACTCTTTATTTGTTTCGCCCAAAGTCATGAATGCTTTTTTGTCCTGATTAACAGCTTTGACCTATTTATAGCTGCACTGTTCGGTGTCATTATTGTGCCTCTTAGATATTGCACATAATATTTTCAAACCCAACTACTGTCGTATTTGTCTAGCAGACATCGACGCTGCTTGCCAGCCACTGAAATCAAAACCAGGGAGAGATTTTTGAAAGCAGCACTTTGCAGAGATTATGGAAACTGATCTTTTGTGTCTGCAATTCAATGTGGGCGAGGGAGGGGGGGAGAGGCACCCTCCCCCTCCTTAATTTACTACAGTGTATCAAGGGAACATCGTTCCAATTATTCTTCCAGTGAAGGTCATTAACTGATCAAAATTAAGTCAATGTTTACAAAGTCTCTTTTTCTTTCTTTCCTTTTATTGAACCAGCATCGGGTTGGGTAGGAACAGCTTTGGAAGCAAGTGATAAAAATCATGTATTATATCTTAATCACCTCGTTGGCAAAAGGTCCATTTTTCTGGAGCTAAAATGGATTCATTAGAGTCGTCCTCCATTCTCACATGCCCAGTTTCTTGGAGAAGCTGCCAAACGTTAATTACCAAGCTAAGCCATTTAATTTTGTTTGTTTAATTTGAAACAAAACTATCCTTCTGCCAAACTTGTGGGGAGAATCTGCTTTGTAATTTTTACAGGAGAGGTAGTGGGCAAATTGCTTTGTCCAATGCATTGCACTCAGAGCCAAGGGATTACTCGGATTTTGGAAGTGCCAGTGGTTGGGGATTATGGTTAAGGCAGTCACAATCTTTCTCAAGCAAAGCCTTCACCTTGGTTTTTCAGTGGAGGAGAACTCAAGAAGGGGGCCAAGATTGGCCAAATCCTACCGTGGACTAATTTAAATTTATTAAATTAATGCAATAGATCAGACATGTCAAACACAAGGCCCGGGGGCCGGATGCGGCCCGCGAAGTGGTTTCATGTGGCCCGCGAAGCCATCCTGGAAACAGTGAGGGAACGGCCCTCACTGTCTTGGCCCTGGCCTAGGCCGGCCGGGAGCCAATGTACAATTTTGTGGTGGCCCTCTATGCTGAAATGCAATCAGTCTTAGTTCCACAAGGCCATCTGGAAACAGTGAGGAACCAGCCCCTGCTGCGTTGGCCCCTCCCCCTGGGTGCATGCTGGGGAGGTGTCACCCTTTGTGAGGAATGAAGAAATGGACCATGCCTTGGCACTTGCCCCGGTCCCACCCCCTTCTGCCAGAGATGCTCAGGTCTGTCCCACTCCTGCCCAGGCCCCCACAGGCCCCCTTGACGCGAATGATGTAGAGTTGGCCACGCCCATCCAGTAGGCCACACCCACTCCATCCACGCCAACCCAGTAGGCCGCACCCACCCTGGCCACACCCACCTAGCCCCCCAAGGGCAACCGCAATGCTGATGCGGCCCTCAATGAAATTGAGTTTGACACCCCTGCAATAGATTGTCGTTCATTTATTTTTCCTTTAGTCACATGAAAAATGACCATTTCTGAGGAACTTCTGGAGAGCACCCTAACTTTTGGCAGGGATGTATCCCTCGTTCATTCTGATGGAAAGCTTTTCAGTGGATGAAGAGGACTGAATTGAAAGAGGGATGTTAATAGGCAAAAACATAACCAGAATTATGAAAAGAAAACAATTTAGTGGGTCTCACGATTCCCAGTATCAACTCCAAGCAGGATCTTGAGCTGCAGTTCTTTTAATCTCCATTATCATTGTCTCCCGTCTCTCCGAGCCAAACCATCCAATCACTTTGCATACCCTGGGAGATTTATAAACAATTTGGGGATCTGAAAGACAGCAGTGAAAGCAGAAGATCTATAACCGTGGTTGGATGAATTGTAATCAATATCCGTCCTTATTGTTATTTTCAAATCTCAGTCCTGAGATTTGGAAAAGATACTGTTTTGTTTTTAACACAGATTAATAATGAACTCTGGGAGGAGCACAAGCGTGATGCATAGTAAGACTTCTGTTGCTCGGAAGCATTCTCACTGGCGAGAAAGAATCCTTGCCTTAGAAAGGGATTCTGGTTTTACAAAAGGAGAGTAAATAGTATTGGGAAAAGAAGGATGTAATTTACCAGGTTGATGTGAAGGAAAGAATGTGGCCAGAGAAACTACATTGAAATATTGCATCTAATTTTGGTTGCCACAATATAAAAAAGATGTTGAGACTGTAGAAATAGTGCAGAAAAGAGTAACAAAGATGATTAGGGGACTGGAGGCTAAAACATATGAAGAACGGTTGCTGGAATTGGGTATGTCTGGTTTAATGAAAAGAAGGACTAGATGTAGCATGGTAGCAGTGTTCCAATATCTGAGGGTTTGCCCCAATGAAGAAGGAGTCAAGCTATTCTCCAAAGTGCCTGAAGGCAGGACAAGAAGCAACGGATGGAAACTAATCAAGGAGAGAAGCAACCTAGAACTAAGGAGAAATTTCCTGACAATTAGAACAATTAATCAATGGAATGACTTTGACTCCAGAAGTTGTGGGTACCCCAACACTGAAGACTTTTAAGAGCAGAGGGTTGGACTAGAAGACCTCTCCAAGATCCCGCCCAACTCTGTTATACTGTTTTTCTATTCTGCTATTCAGTAACTTAAGAGTTGGTTTAATAATCTTGTAACTGTAACCATGGTTACCTTTCATTGGTTACAACTGAATTTTAGACTCTGAACCTGCAGAGCTGGTCTCACAGAACTGTCCTTTACAGTCGGGTGTTTCTGCAGGATAGGTTAAAAAAAAACGTCAAAATGGTGACACAAGGGTGTGATTGAAGCTTCAAACCAAGGGGTCTTCAAACTTGGCCGTTTTATGACTTGTGGACTTCAACTCCCAGAATTCCTCAGCCAGGCACTCTGGTTGAGGAATGTTGGGAGTTGAAGTCCAAAAGTCATAAAAGGGCCAAGTTTGAAGACCTCTGCTTCAAACAATATGCATTAAAAAACTCACGAAGCTTTATTCTGCATTCCCACGATAGCTGTTTTGACTGAAACACTTACCCCCACAAACTTCATGCAGAGGTACTGCATGGATTTCAGAGGAAGTCCTGGTAGATTTTTAGAGCAGGTGGTCCTAACTTACAACCATTCGTTTAGTGACCGGTCAAAACTACAATGGCACTGAAAAACTCTGACTTACAACCAGTCCTTCCACTGATGATTGTCACAGCATCCCCATGGTCAGGGGTAGGCAACCTTGGCTCTTTTATGACTCGTGGACTTCAACTCCCAGAATTCCTGAGCCAGCCATGCTGAGGGGAAAGGGAGAGGTTTCCAAGCTGAGCCATGCTGGCTCAGGAATTCTGGGAGTTGAAGTCCACGAGTCATAAAAGAGCCAAGGTTGCCACCCCTGCCCATGTTCATGGGATCAAAATTCAGACAGTGGGCAGCAGACATGTATTTATGGCAGTTGTAGTCTCTTGGGGGTCATGTGATCACCATTTGCAACCTTTCCAGCCAATTTCCAACAAACGAATTCAAAGGGGGAAACCAGATTTGTTGAATGACTGTGTGATTCACTTAACAATTGCATTAATTCATTTAACAACTGTGGCAAAAAGAAGTTGTAAAATCAGGAATAATTCACTTAGCAACTGCCTTGCTTAGCGACAGAAATTATAGTCCCATTTGTGGTCATAAGTCAAGGACTACCTGTATCAGTAAGAACAAGGTTTCATTGTTGTATCCTACTGATAAAAAAATATTGCTACAATATCCATTTTGGGAAAATAACTAGAATCAAATTACAAGCTTCATATTGTTATATACCCAATAAATGGTCTTTACCTTTATTTATCTATGTGCAATAAAGACGTCTTACTTTTCCTCCCTCCAACTGTAAATATTTATATAAATTTCTGTTTTAGGGTAAAACTCTGTGTATCTGAAATGGACATGTTGTAATAACTTTAAGATGCCGTTGGTTTAGTCATTTTTGTGGCAGTGGGCAGTCGTGACTAATTTTTGTAAAATTGCACTTTTTTTTTAACTCCAACTAAAGAATCCTTTTTTTTTCTTTTCTCCCTTCAGCTCCAGGGTTCCTTGAAGAGAAAACTGGTGGTAAATCTGACACCAGGCAATAATAAGAGATCAAATGGCATTGCTGACAATACTTTCCTGGATATTAAGAGAATCCGAGGTGGTGATAATAACCTTTCCATGGGACGTGGTCAGTGTGGTAACAATTGCCCAAACCAGTCAGTGTTGGGATCATTCTCAGTTGGACAAGGCGCTCCAAGGAAAATGGACAGCTCAACCAACAACAGTCATTCTGGGGCAAACGGGATGTTTAACATGACCCTAAAAGAAGTCAAAAAGGAACCCGGGGAGACAATTTCTTGTAGTAAGCATATGGATGGTCCGACATCCCAGAACAGTGTTTTTCCTAACAGATATGGAGAAGACACGGCGGAACAGTTGATGGACCCAGAACTTCAGGAGCTGTTCAATGAACTGAGTAATATTTCTGTGCCCCCCATGAGTGATCTTGAATTAGAAAACATGATAAATGCCACCATCAAGCAAGACGAACCATTTAACATTGACATTGGTCACCAGATCCAGAGAGGAACCCCTGCCCAATCCTCTTCCTTGCAGATGGACAAAATGGTGATCAAACAAGAGTATTCACCAGGATTGAACCAGGCTTCGGTGGGATCACCTCAGATGAGGCCTCCTTCTACAGACTCAGCTTTCACCCTATCTGGTGCTGCTATGTCCACCTCATCTCCCATTCCTTCAGTACCTCAGACTCAGACTCCTCCCTCTCAAGGGACATCAGTTCCCCCTCGGCCATTGGCCAATTGGCAAGAAGTGTCTCATGCCCAGCAATTGAAACAAATAGCAGCGAACAGGCAACAGCATGCTCTGATTCAGCAGTGCCAGCAAAGTCAATCGGCAACATCCTGGCCTGGTTTGTCATCTACAGAACCATCTTCTGGGTCGTTTGTGCAGGAGAAGATGTCTAGTCCATCCTTCCACCAGCAACAACAGTTCAGTCCACAAGGTCCCGCAATATCTGGGATCCCAGTCAGTGGGACTCCATCAAAAGGAATGAACAGTTACGCCTACCGGCCAAACTCCATGCCCCAGGGAAGTTCTGTCAACATGGTAATGCCCCGAAAGTCTCAAGACATCCCCAGAAATTATGTAAACAACAATCAGGTGTCACTGGAGGAACCTCAGAACATCAAGCCTTTGTTTCATTTCAACTCAGAACAAGCCAACAAGCAGATGTCTTCTGGTTTGGGAGCCCCACATAAACCTTCTCTTGTCCACTATGCACAGCAGCCACCCCAACAGCTGTCTAACTCAGCGGTTCAACCACAAACGTCGCAGCAGCAGCAGCAGCAGGCACATTCTGCACAATCTCTCCAAACTCAGCATCTCCAAAGGCCCCCCAATGTATCCTTAGCTTTACAGCAAAAGATCATGCTCCAGAAAATGCTACAAAATCAGCCTGCTTCAGGACTACAGTACATGGGCCCGCAGAATCAGCTGGTAAGGTTTTTCTCCTATCGCTTCTTTTCCTATCCATCGTATCGGGGTAAACACAGACAACTTTTCAAATGTGGAATGCTTTTGTGACGCATTACTTCATTTGGGAGGCCATGTAGTGTGACCTTCTTCCTTTCAGGTTCTCTGAACCATAAAAATGGTTGAGGAAAGAATTTTTCTTTGGAGGTGGGTGGGTAAGACTTCAGAGAGTTTTGCAGCCCCAAATTCAGCAAGTGCTCTTTTGCAGCAACAAGAAGCACAAAAGGTGTGCGACACTTCCACTTTGCAAATTTAAGCAAGGGGGGGTGACTGGGTTGCCATCTATCTTAGAGGCCATCATATGGTAACACTTCCCAGGCTGGTGGTAGCAGGTGGGAACATGATTTGGATTTGAGGAGACATGGAAGGATTGCTGCTAGGGCAGGGGTAGGCAACCTTGGCTCTTTTATGACTCGTGGACTTCAACTCCCAGAATTCCTGAGTCAGCTATGCTGGCTCAGGAATTCTGGGAATTGAAGTCCACGAGTCATAAAAGAGCCAAGGTTGCCTACCCCTGGGACAGCTCACCACAGTCAAGTCGTCACTGCCAATTTGTCATGGGACAACTTAATGCAAGATAATTGTACTCTAGACCTGTTCCTCTCTTAATATTACCAGTAATATTCTTAGTATTATCGATATTATTCATAATATTATAATTACCTCGCATTAAATTGTCTTGCAGCAAGTTGTCCCGAGGTGGCGAATTGGCCACAGTGAACTGGCCACAGAGAGTTGTCCCATTCCGGCTGCTAGGATTATGTTAAAAAATTAAATAGCGGGGTTTTCTCTTTTGTTTTAGTTTTTTTTCTTATAAACAGCTTGGACTGAAATCTATCTCGGCTTGATTTCTCTGTGACAGAAGTTAATGCCTCGCAAAGGAATTCTTTTTATTAGCTCTTTGGGACATTTCTCTGAGTCTGGAATTGCATTATGTCAAAGTGCCCAGATGATGAGGTTTGATGTTGTTTTAAAGATCATTTAAAGGCAATTTGGATCTGATGTTAGGAGTGATTCAAAACGAGGCTCCCTGAAATCAGCTTTGCTCCTTTACACTGGAATCAGCCTTACTTTGAAGGAGAGTTTAGCCTTTTAAATGGGATAAAGATCCTTTACTTAGCTGGAGCAACAGTGATGTAATTTGGACTGGAAAGTCCAGTGGGAGGAGCCATGAGGCAAAGTGGGTGTGGGAGAATCACATGGGGTGGAGCTAGAATTTCCCCTTTTTTTCCCTAAAGTTTGAGGAGGTGTGGGGAAATGGCTACTTTAATCATGGATTACCTTCTAGTTCAGGGCTTTTCAACCAATAGTACGGGTACCACCTGTGGTACATTGACACCTGGCAGGTGGTACGCGACCATCCTAGAAAACTGGTAGCGGTGGGGAAGGGGAATGAGCTGAACTGGTGGCAGCACCGCACAAGCCTGAGCGAGAGATGGCTGGAGCTGCAGGGCTGTCAGGGCTCAGCGGAAGCACCAGGATCAGCGCTTCTTCGGGACTGTCAGGGCTCAATGGAAGCACCAGGATCAGCGCCAGGCTCCAGCTGAGCTCGGCGCTGATCCTGGTGCTTCTGCTGAGCCCTGAAGAAGCACCAATCAGCTGGAAAGCAGCACTGATCCTGGCGCTTGTGCTGAGCCCAGAAGCAGCGCCGATCAGCTGGAATATTGCAGCATCTCCAGGGTCTTGTGATTTACATTCAGATGCTTGGCAACTGATTCATATTTATGATGGTCACAGTGTCCCAGGGTCATGTGAAGTGACCAAAACCTGCTGCAACCACCCATCCAACAGGGGGGGGGGATAAAAACCAAACACCCCCCCACCCCACCCCTCTTGCCAATCCTCAACAGAAATGCTCACAACAATGAAAACCTCGGACAGGAGGAAGAGCACTGCCGGGTGGGCAGGCAGGTGTCTTGCTCGGCTGTGCCTTGAGGGGGCACTTTTTTCAGTGCCATTGTAACTTCAAACAGTCACTAAGCGAACTGTTGTAAGTTGAAGACTACCTGTACTTTATCACTTTTTCCCTTTTTTTGTCATCAAGTTTTTGACACCTTGCTAGGCGACTGGTGGTACTCGGATATTGCCATATCCTAAAAGTGGTACAATGGGTGAAAAGGTTGAAAAGCCCTGTTCTAGTTAACTTTCACTAATTTGGAAAAACTATGCAAGTCAGATCTGATTATGAATGAGCTGTGATGGCGCAGTAGTATTGCAGGCTAACTCTACTCACAGCCAGGAGTTCGATCCTGACCAGCTCAAGGTTGACTCAGCCTTCCATCCTTCCGAAGTTGGTAGAATGAGTACCCAGATCGTTGGGGGCAATATGCTGACTGTGTAAACCGCTTAGAAAGGACTGTACAGCACTAGGAAGCAGTATATATCATAAGTCTAAGTGCTAGTGTATTGCTGTTCCTGGACAGAGGACCGTCAGGAAATCCTACATAAGTTAGATTGGAAAGTTGAAGAAGCACTTGGAAAAAAAAACAATCTAATAGCAAACTAATATTATATTGTTGCTAAAATAACTATCTAAAATACAATCATGTGGTCAGTAACAGTAGAGCCTGACTCAAGGACTCTTTACTTTTGTGTATTTTAAGGAGCAGTACCCTTGTTCTGTATTTTGAAAGCTCAAGATATTACACTGCTTACTTTCTATATTTATGACTGCCAAGATTTGCAGGACTGTTGGCCAAGAGGAGACAAAGAGAACAAATTCACAAAAAATGTGCTTTGAGGGCTGCGTAGGATTCTGGGGTGACAGATTATCCAATCCTGTTTTTAAATCAGGAGTATATCATTTCCCAATTCCATGAGTGTGCTTCCCTCTCTGTGTAGGGTGTTTTGACCATGCTTTTCTTGCCCAATTCTCTCAAGATACATTGCCTAAGATCTCACTGCAGAGTTATCTAAACTATTTTCATCCCGGATTCTTCTCCTCCTCCATTAATCCATCAACAGTAAAGAGAGGGAATAATAAGTTATAACAAATAAAAAATGTGTTAACAATTGGTTTATTCTGCCTTTATTACTTTATAAGTAACTCAAAATGGTGAGCACACATAATAGTCCTTCCTCTTCCTATTTTACCACAACAAATAATAATAATAATAACAACAACAACTTTATTGTCACTTTGAAAGTACTCCAATCGGCATACATCAAAATGAAATTTCGTTGCATATAGCTCTCAAAGGGTCACCACCTCCGATATACACTCCTTGTTCGTGGCCAGCTCAAGTTTCAGATCTTCCATTTTAGTCTCTAGGGAGCGAACGATGGCAAACAGGACAGATGGAAATGGAGCTCCATATGGATTAGCCCTCAAATTAGCTTGTATTCCTGCACGACAACCTCGCCTCCTTTCCTTTTTCTGATCTTGTCTCTTCCACCTTTTCCTTAAAGAGGCCTCACTCCTTTTCGCCCCTGGAGAAGGCTGCCGCCGCCACCAACTCCTCCAAAAGCCTCTCTCCCATCCTCTGGGCCTGCCGACAGCCTCATCCAGTTCCTTCCCTCCATAAGCCCCGGGACCTCTCCTCCTCTGCCTCCTTTGGAAACAGCCCTGTGAGGTGGGTTGGGCTGAGAAAGAGTGACAGGCCCAAAGGCGGGACTAGAAATTCACAGTCTCCTGTGGCCTAAAGTCACTTTCATACCTAAGGTGGTACTAGAACAGTGGTTCTCAACCTTTTTAATGCTGCGACCCCAACCGGTCATAAGTCGAGGACTAAACCAGTCATAAGTCGAGGACTAAACTGGTCGTAAGTCGAGGACTAAACCGGTCATAAGTCGAGGACTACCCAACCGGTCGTAAGTCGAGGACTTTCCCTGCCCGGGAGCGCCGCACATGCGTGGTTCCGCCCCCTGCGCCGGCTGAGGCGTAGCTGGCAAGCGGCAGAGACGGAGCAGGCCGACCACCAGCTGGCCCAGCCCAAGGGAGGTAAGGCACCCACCGGAAAAGGGGAAAAAAATGGCGGACAGCCTTGCTTGGCGACCCCCGTGAAATGGTCGATCGACCCCAAATGGGGTCGTGACCCATAGGTTGAGAACCGCTGTAGTAGAAGAACTAATAGCTTCCTGGTGTCTGGGGCAGCACTCCTTAGGTCACATCCAGTTTGATGTAGTGGTTAAGGCATCAGGCTGGAGACCATGAGTTCTGGTCCTGCTTTAAGCATGAAACCAGCAAGTGATCTTTTGTGACTCAGTCTCAGTTCTAGGAAGGAGACAGTGACAAACCGTTTCCCAAATCTTGGCAGGAAAACTGCAAAGACAAGCCCAGGCAGACTCCAGGAATTAACAATGACTCAAAGGCACAACACCTCCCCAAAATTTTTCTTAATGATGAGAACAGCAGTGCAAGGTGTAAGTTTCATTTGCTTGCTTATGATGCGACAGGGAGTACAGTATAGCACGTTGATGAACATAACATTTCTTTCTAGTCTGGGCCTTCTCAGTTTTCCCTCAGACAGCTAGAAGGGAATCAAAAGGAGAGGTCTACTGTAAGTTTGGTCAGGAAACAGGACCATGGTCATAACAAACATTTTAGAACAGTTGCAGAGCTGAATGAGTGACACATCCACAGAGACACGTGGCAAAAACATGCACCGTGACCTCATGATACAAACTCCGCCGTTTATATATTCGTATGTGACATTACAATGCAAACAGAAAGAACGGAGTTAGTGGGACATCACAATTTATTTTTTGGGTTATTTATGCATAATAGTAATTAGGAATTAAGGCTTGTGCCAATGCACTTTAAGTAAAAGATGTCACTAGCACACCTACCCAGAATTCAGCAAGTTGCCAGCTATACCGAGCTTGAATTTATTTTAGGTTATTTTAATTAGAAATCATAACACCTGTGAAGCTTGGTAAGTTGCAGAGGAAAGCAGGCATCTTCGTATGGTGCTTATTTCCATCTCTGTGCTTCATATAGCCTACTGAGGCATCCTTAAGAAATA